TATTTATTTTAAAAATAATTTTTATTTGTCTATTTTATTATCCAAATACAATCAATGGAATTGAATATTTGATTCGTTGTAAAAGGAATGATTCTATTTGACTATATTATATTATAATATTTAATTATAATCGATGGAATTAAATTTTATTATATGTTATTTGTTGTGAAAAAAAGTTTCGATTGTTTATTAATTTTTTATTTATTTCGTATAAAGAACTCAATTATTATTTATTTGAAATTTTTAAAATATCGACTAATTGATTCTTCATCGATTTTAATAGTCTTGAAATATATTGCAAATTTTTTAACATTATTTTGAGTAACTTTTTATATAAATGTGATCAATTTCAATTTTTGAATTTATGTAAATAATTTTTTAATACTAAATTATATTGTTAAATTTTTATATTGTGTGCTTTCATAATCGACTATTTACCAATTACATTTGTATATTAATTGTATTGTCATATATATTACAAACACATCACTAATAATTAATATTTATAGCAATTAACTAATAATTAATATTTATAGCAAGTAAAATAATATTACTATATTTATTATTAGTATTTATTAATAATAATTTTTCTTTAAATCCGCGGAATAGTAAAATGATATTTCACTTTATATTATCATCTTTATCTACGTTATTTTTCATGGCGAAGAAAATATTTTAAATAAATACTCAATATTTTCAAGAAAAATTCTAATATATAAAATAATTTCTATATCTGTATTTTCTGTATTGTAGATAGATATATAGAGGTCATATAAAAATCAAATTCCTTTTTTAATAAGAACCATGTATTTTTTTATTTGCATTGAAAGATACAGTATGTTTAAAAATATAAAAATGTACTAAATTACTTAAAGAAATTATTATGTTAGGAAATATTTTTTATAACGCAAATGTAGTATTCATTCTAATATTCTAATGATAGTCAATATTTTTTCAAATATATTAAACTTAATAATTCCAAAAAATAATGAATAAAAAATGAATTTGTCCTCTTATCATCTTCGTCACAAAATCCTCAATCTTCCAAAAAAAATTATGATATTATTGAATATAAAAGTAGTAATAAGAAAATTATTAAAAATATGGAATTTTTTCAATATTAATAATAATTAAATATATTTTCTTACAAATAAATTAAATTTAAAAATAATTTAAAAAATTAAAAACAAACAAAAAAATGAAGGGAACTAAGAAAAATAATGCTTCACAATAAATAATTATATTAAATCTCAATCACTTTACTTTATAAATTATGCTTCTTGTATAAATATCATCTCTATAATATATAATACGTATGAACAAAGTATATTTTATTAATTAAAAAAAAAAAAAAAAAAAATAGAAATGATAAAAAACAATGCAGAGATGCATAATTTTCGTTTTTCTTGTTAAATACATATATTGTATACATATATTAATTATAAATCGTATAAAAGACACTACTTATTATATCGATACATTAGAAAATGAATGATTTTTCAGGCATAATAATCATATTTTTAACATGGAACATAATTTATTTATGGACAAATTAAAATTCAATAACGTATATTAGACTTATTATAACGAACGATAATCAATTATTTCAATTTGGTTAACACTAGAAATACCAGTCGATTCATTTTGATCTAATAACGATACTAAAATATTTTTTGTTTGTTTTTTTGTTTATTTTAAATTATTTTTCAAAATCAATAATATTTACAATTAATATAGATAAAAGATATATTCAATTATTATAAATAATTATTATAAAGTAAAATTGAGAAGTTTTTTTATTTAAGAAAAAATTAAAACTTGTTTACCTTTCATTTATGTAAAGTTTAAACATATAAATTTAAATTATATTTTCTATCTTATTGTAAAAAAATTTAATTTGGATTGATTGTCATATATTTGTCATAATTATTCTGAAACTGTAAATCTGAAATTGAAAAT